ATCCACCCATCAGATCGTCCTGATCCCTTTCTCACTCCTTTCTGCCCAGGATCCAGGCGGAGATGCAGTGCCCCTCCTGTGGATCCACCTTCTGCCCCTCGGCAAGTTCGAAATGACACTGTGGCTCTGGTCAGTCAGGTGGCGCATGGTGGCGCCAAAACTGGGTGTGGATTGTTGTGGGGCGCCATCTTCGGTACATGGGTGGATGCGATGATGTGACCAATGTAGCTGAAGCACCGGGGTACCATGTGAGCCAAAGTTTGCATACTGGGACCTGTGATCAGACGTCATCCACATTCTCTATGGTGATGAGAGAGCAAAGTCAGCTGCACAGCGGGGGTGCGAATAGCATGTCCATGCGTGTCCGTTTGTCAAGCTGCTAATTGAAATATGGTGTTGCAGTATAGTGCCCAACTACGTACATTATCGCATTGAGTCTATGGGAAACGATCCATTCCACACCAACCAAAGACATGCTGAGGGAACGCCACAAGAATGAGGCTATTACCACTCCAACGCCCATGAGGGCCGCCCCTGCGATGAGTACTCCCGGCAGATCTCTCGACAGCTGAGAGAGATGAAGTCGGGCGCGTGACTCGGCTGGTTGGAAGCCACTCAGAGCCTCAGACAGAAGCAACGCTCTAATTCGACAGAACATAGTTAGTGGCTCTTTTTTGTGAACTGCCGATTGCATGAACAGGTGGTGTTAAGTGATAAGTTGTTTAAGTCACAATCTCATGTTGGTACTTACAAGTTGATCACTTCCACTTGTTTGTGATTATACCATGTATAAGGTAGGGTCGCAAGGTTACAAGACAAGTCACGGTACTGTCCAATTTCCAAGGTGCAAGTGACCCACACACACATAAACAAACAAACAAACAAACAAACATCCCGGCACTGGAGAAACCGTGCGCGTGGTTGTGTCATTATCCATTTCGTCTCGATGTGCTCAGAACCGCAAAAGTTGAGGTATTCCATTTAGCAAGTATCTCGAAATCATTGCAATTCCACTGGGATTCAGTTTCAGCAGTTTTTTGGTTTTTTACAGTAAGAGGGAGATCATGTCTCATGAAAACTGCTTTGAAAATTGAACTCCTTTTTTGTGTTGTCTCATTTTCCTGAGGGGAAACGAGTCAAGAAGAGGACGGAGTTTCTCGGAGCTGCTTCTTTTTCACACTGCCAAGCATGTTCCATCCTCCATTGCCAACTTCAAAGATACAAGAGAAGATTCGGGTTGAACTCCCCATCAACACGTGTTAGAAGAAACTGTTATGTTCTTTTTGGCAATTTTCTAAGACAGTTCCACCAGTATGTGCTTCCAATCTATTGTTTTTGGCCAGTATTCGCTTCACAAACACTCCCTTACTATGGTTATAAGGTCATTTTCATTTTTCTTTAGCCAAAAGACAATCTGCGGGTGCTCCGTCGGAAACCAAAGCTGTTGTATCCTCACTTACAGACTTATTCTTGGAAACATCCTTTGGAAAGCCAGTGCTTCGAATGCGATGGAGGCTCTCAGGAGGAGGTTTACGCAAGGTCCAAGATTGAACTCCCCAATGTCATTTGTGGTGAAAATGAACATTTGTATGCCATCGTATGCCCACCGAGCACATGCCATTTTGGCTAAACACACCTGCCCGCCCGCCCCACACCCTCCACCCATCCCCGTGAGTACGTCAGTGAACCCAACGTGAATTTGGCTAATCTCATTGTAACTGCGGGGAAAACATATGAATTTTCAGAATGATGGGGTAGAAGCAAATATATACAGGGTATATACAAGAAAAGAACAATGCTGAAAGTCGAAACATGTCGGCTGTGATGCATGGAACAACATGCATGCGTTCATGAGTGATTTGGACTACACGTACGATTTTCCAGCCGGAACAAACAGATTTGCAACGAGCCAGCGAGCACTGTACAGTTTGCCCAGGCTGGCAGGATCCAAGCAGTGTCCTAAATGTGGCGTGTACACTGTGCCCGGCTGCTCAGGGGTCCTGTTTGGATTTGGCCGCCACTCACGGCCATAGCAGCATGAGATTGATATAGATCAGTTGAAACATATTGAAACAGATGAAAAGAGAAGGGAAGAACAGATTCTCCCAGGTTAAAACACCCTTTGTTGAAAAGCTTAGGGTCAGAGTCAAATTTAAGAGTTATAATAGTGTTCAGTCAAAACTCCACGGGTAAGGAGATGTTTGATTTGGGGAAATGCCGCAGCAACCAAGTTAAAAAGGAACACAAAACAAGGTTGGCTGATTCTTTCCACCCAGTCTGTCCTCAACTTCAGGGGCTTCACAATATGTCACCCTGACCCTGACATCACCTGTGACCCATGACCGATTTTAGATGCAGTACCAAGGAAGAGGCAGTCAGGCCTAACAGAGCTTACAGAAAAGGCCGCAAAATGTTCCTGGTGTGATTGAGGGCCTTGTAGGCAACTCCTCTATATTAATTATTGTAAATGTGGTGGCTAGTATTTGGCTGGTGCCCCAGGCGTATCAATCAAGGCACTCGTGCTCCTGGTTGCAGTTTCCACTTGAAGACAGTTTATACAAGTTTATGACAGTTTGAGACTACCGAGCCGTTCCAAGGAAGACCAGCGGGTGCAACCATATGACCTGCGCGGAGAGGAGAGGGACTGCATGCTGGTAACCCTGGCTGATGGCAAGGATGACCACCACGTTGGGAGAACTCGGTCTGGGGAATGAGGATCTGCTCTCTCCTCGTGGGGGCCGTCCTTCTGCAATTTGGGGAACAGCAATCCTGAAACCTTCATGGGCTTCTGAGAAACATGGGTTTGTAACTTGTAGATACTGGCAGCATGTGGTTGTGTGACCTCAAACTACGGTTGTTTGAGAGAGGCCATGCTGGTGCTATGGCCTGCTGCGAATGCTCACATACTTGCCTACAGTGTAAAGGAAGCATTTTGCAAATGATGGCGTTTGGATGTCTTGAGGACAAATTCTGCAGATGCAGTGATATGATGCGGATTGATGTGGTATGATTCGTTGTGAATACAGCTTTTGTCACCCTGAATGCTGAAAACCAAAAAGTCACCCAGTCCAATTGTCCCCACAAGGGCATCCAAGTCGATGAAGGGGCCAGGCAACCTCCCATTCCTAGCGGGTCCTCATGGGTCCCCATCCGCTGGATTGGCAAGGACTTGTCAAGCGCATTGGTGCTGGGTCTGTGGAAATGAGATCATAGGCATGGAGTGGGCCTGAAGACAGGAGAGGTCTGGGGTAGTGGTAGAGATCTCCATTGCTATGACTATGAATTCTTGAAAGCCCTCAAAGGGGATACACATTATATCTCATTCTATCACATTATTAGATATTTGTGGCATGGTTTTGCAAGATTTGTCCAAATCCCCTGGACCAAGTACAGGTAACATTTGGTGTTGACCAAGTGCTGCAACCGGGCTCAGCCCCCGCAGAGCATGCTTCGGCTGAATCGCCAAAACGCAGAGGCGGCGCCAATGGTGTCTTGGAGCACTACTCCACAGGCGCGACACCAAAACGTTGCTGCACTGAAGTTGAGATGGAGATTCGAGAAGGCTTTATTTCCCTTCCTATGGTCCTATGGTTTGCTCAAGTGTTGGCAACTATGTTGGGGGCTTGGTGTCCACGTTGCTAGCGGGGCTTTCTTTTCAAGTGAAGTCGTGTTTCGGCAGTCAGAGAATGGCTAGGAACTTCAGACTTCTGAAGGGACTGCTTCTCCCCTTCAGTTGTTTTTCACATATGACCACGTGTCCAGAGTTTTGTTTGGGGTCATTGCTTTCGGGTCAGCTTTTGGTGTTGTTCTTCCGTTTTATTGGCGTCCACCAGTTGAAGGGAAGTGCCCCATTGAAGCTCCAAGCATGTCACAGACAGTTGACGTAAGGATTCCAGTTGATTTTGAGGCCCTTGCTACGGTCCTAGACCTTTCCACAAGAGTTGGATAGATCAAGAGACTATCATCACATGGGATTCTATGCAAACCGAATGGAAATACCTACACAAGAATGTGTTGTCCCTGATTCCGAAGGCTACTGCCGGCAGTTTCCAGACGTGGATGAAATTACCACGCAGGGGTGCTACTTGGACCGCCTGGCAAGTCGGGTTCGGCAAAGGAACAGTAGTTCTAGGATGTCAAAGGTAGATGACCATTAAGGGCAAGGAGGAGCGAAGAATGATGGTGTCTGGTGGCTTGTGGCCTGAAAGTTTGAAAACCCTTGCAAGTCAGTGCACGGGAGGGGTCTCACTGCTGCCAATGTTGGTGTCTTCGACTGGCACCTGACTTGATGCACGTATTTGGACAGTGGGTTCACCAGCGGTTAAGACCCAGAAAATATGTAGAATTGGCCTGCGGGCAGTAGCACCAACTCTGTCAGTCGGGCATGAGTTTCCAGTGGAAAGCTTCACAACTCAGGCTGGCTCACCTTCCTGTTGCTTGGTGCAAACGCGAGAGATTTCGCTGCTACAATTCTGAACAAGGATATATTCGGTTTGTGGGCAAGTTCATAGGTCGTAGGTACTGACTTACTCAAGAAAGGTTCACCCTGGACATTATTTTCTGCACACCCTATCATCAACCCCACATCCCTGGTTCGCAGAAAGAGTATCGCCTTTTAGCCGCCCCCATGTTCACCAGGGTCACCACTGTTAATTTCCTCTTTTGTTAGGTATTAGCCGCTCGATAAATTGCAACTATCTGATATATGCAACTTGTCGGCTTCATAGTTGAGTTGCGTGGTTTGCTGAATAACGTCTTCTGAATTGGTTGTTCGGAAGAAGGGACACCCTTGCTTCATCAAAACACGGAGGTCATTTCCGGAGCAGTTTTTTTCACCGCTTGACCCGAGTGAGCAGTTCACACGTCCCTCCTTGAGGCGAATCCTGACCTTTCCTTTCAGGCGCAGAAATGGAACTGTCGAGATGCGAGCCACGGCAAAAGGAAGCTACCAGTATCTTTCGGCAAATCTGAGGTTGTGACTAGTCTCATTGTTGAACAAAGTAAAGCTCAGAAACTGGCCTGGCTTCAGAACACAGGTTCAGAAACGGGTTTTCTGGTTTGGTCGGGTTCACAAACGGGGTTATGTTGAGTTCAGAAACGTTTTATTGCGGGGTTCAGAAATTACGGGTTAAGAAACTATTTTTGGTGGGGGGTTGACATGACATTCATTTGAGCAACCGTTGAAACAGGGTATGAAGAGCACGTTACTAGTTTCCGAATGCAACGCTCAAGTGTCCAAAACCCATGTGTCCAGTTTCCGAACCCCACTTTTCCAGTTTCCAAAGATTTGTTTCAAGCTTCCGAACCTGAGTTTCTGAACCCAACGTTATTTTCAATCTTCACGCTGGTTGGTTTGGATCTTTTTCGGGCCAGACAGAACATGGGAACTAGGATTCGACGACGGGTCCCCGAATGAAAAATTGGATTTGGGATCAGCCTCCGATACGCAACACGTTCAGGAACGGCGATCATTCTCCCACCCCTACAAGCATGTGTCCACGTTCTTTATGAATATCCGTTCGTCTCTGCGTTCACCACTTGTTTGTGATGGGCCAGCATCTCTTCGCTGCTCAAAGAACATGAACATCGGTGGCCAGTTGTCCTTAGGAAGACTGCTCCTTGGAAGCCCTAAGTACTCGTCAGTCCAGTAGGATCAACCAACCGACCAACTGCCGCCGGACAGGATCTTTTTCTTGAAGCTCGGCCGAGATGGGAACAGGGATGTGTGTATACATGGTGAAAGTGCATGGCACAGGTCCCACATGAGATTAGAAGGCCCCATCTTGTCCAAGACACTCTTTCATTTACTTTGTCCAGCTCAACGACTTTGTCGGTTAGTCTAGAGTAAAGACCAAGGCTGGGCAAATCCCTGCTGAAGAACATAGGCAAAGGTGAACCGGCCGAACCCTGCACAGCCATGGGAGTTGACCTGCATATGTCTTCATGTGTGTTTCCTGCTACCAAGCGTATTTGCAAGAATGCACATGACAAACCCGGTCTAGTAGTTGCAAGTGGACTTGACACGTATGCAGAGTCCTACTATAGCGCATATTCTGCCCTCTCTTCTATTATATACAGTTATACATCATACAATACAGCGCTGCGGAAACAAGGGTGTCGTGGCGAGAACTCGGAGCGACATCCTCGCCAACTGACTCAGGTTGTTGGGGGTTCTGCTGATTCTTCTGTCCATCGCGATGTCTCCACTCTCAATCACTATCACCCTTCTCAGCATGAATATCGCGTGCCGGCTACGCCCCTTGGGAGCACTTGGAGGATATTTATGATGCTTTCGTAAACATGGGATCCCAGAACAAGCACAAGGATGGTGGCTCTTGCCTAGGTGTTGACCCGTCATGTCGTGCAAAAGTCTTCCCCGACAGCAGGAGGCACTGAGCGATGAAAAGAGTCCTTTTCACTTTCCCATGTCCCGCTGGACAGTTCCATGGTTGACAATGGTTGTTTAGACAAGTTCTATAGATCCTGCCACGTACTGGGCAAGAATCCAGTGTAAATCTCACACCCAACTTTCTTTCGACTGTCGATTGCTCCCATGTTGCCAGGAGTATGGGTAGTACGGGCAAGAACCGGCCTGCAGAAAAGAAGAAAAGGAACGCATGATCCTTCTATCAAGTACTTTGGTCATGACAGCACGGGAAGAGCCTTGTTGGCTGAATGATTTCTATGACTTGGTCATACTGTGGCAGTGATATTGCTGAAGACCCTCGCAAATGCAGAACCACAATTGGAATCAGGTGGCCCTCACCTCAATATTTGCAGCGGAGAGTAAGATTGCATACACCCCGTGGAATTGGCAGTGCCGCCATGATTTGATCCTCCTATAGGATTCACTCCATGACTTGAGTTACGAAAAGAAATGATGCATCTATATATTCTGAGGGCGAAATCGTCCACATAGCCAGACCTTCGTGAAGGTGATGCTGATGGTGCATCTCGGCACGCAACCACCAGCTGCTAGGGCCTGGCCTAGCACTTCAAGAATGGAGCACAGATTTCCAAGAGATGTTTATATAAAGGAACTTCCTTTATTTCCTTGTAGAAATCCGGAATACTCTATTTGGCATTGTTTGCTGCTTTCGACTTCTGGTAGTCTGACATTGTTAGGAAATCAAAATTCAACCAAAGGTGTCCTGCAACGGTAGGAAACCTGTTGGGCGTCCACCACATCGAGAAGGGTTCTTCTGTATTTGTGCATGGAGTAGACCAATGCTGCAGCTCCATGAACAACTCCAATTCTTGGGTCCCACCTTCTGGGATATGTAGTTTTGGATCATCTCACAACCTCGTCTAGGCCAGCTTTAAGCTCTTGGTAGACCTGTTTTGTTCAGGCCAGGCGTGGTGGTCTTCACTTGTCTTACCTTGACCTATATGATCATCGCCTCTTGGGTTGCATTTGGTCAGAGTTTCTGGATCTGGAGTTGCTGCGAATGATATCGGTCTTTTCCACACCCATGGTGTTCCAACGAGGAGTTCCATGACAGGCTCTGAATGCCTGACCCCTCCATTGTTGTAGAATTGCTGGATTTGTCCTCATCCTGGCCACTCTAGTCCCATGACTTCCGCCTTTTCAAAAATGATTTCGCCGCCAGGTGGCTCTGGTGCTGCTAGTCATCCTGTCTGTCAGCATGCTCCTTTGGGAATGGTTCGGGTGCTGTATGCCAGGCGGGACACTTTCCGCATGCATTAGGGGCGGTCCTGCAAAACCATGGAGGGGTGAATGAGAGCCACTGTGGGCTAAGCGCACGGATTCAGATCTATATAGCCTGGAACTGCCACGTTCTGACTCTGCGGAAGATACAACTATGCTGAATAGTCTTCTAGTATGGGTCTTTGCAAAAGTCTGGGACGGACACTACCACCCCCTTTGAGGCGTTGATCCTTTCATGCAGGCGCCGGTCTTGCAAATCGGCAAACTCACCAACTTTGGCGTGGGAAAAGCTAGGGTTAGCCGCTTTCTAGAGTCCTTCGGAGCGGGGTAATACCTGAGAAGTCGAGAGTTGTGAACGTAATCAATTTGACGAAACCTCAGTTTGAAAGACTGCGTAGCCGATTGAACGTTTGCAGGTTGCTTTATTGACTTCTTGCTGAACATGGTCCGTGCCGCGATTTGCATTAATTAGGTCCATTAGGTGTAGTGTTTTCGTTCGACTCGGTAAATTGATTTATGAATGACGAGCTAAAGCTTCATGGCAGACAAGATGCAAGTGAAAAGTGAGTCCTGGTCAGGATTGTGTGGGAAGAAGCGTGCTAATTACATTCATGTTTTGGCGAGGGATTAGATGACTGAAACTTGGGTTTGATTCCTTTACCTGGACAGCTGCGAGCACCTTGCACAGAGACTGCTTCAACACGGGTTCACACAGTCTAGGTCCTAGGGCTTTCCATTTCCAGGATGGGTGACTCGCAAAGTCAGATGGGTTCCGAGCAAAATTCATGTCTAAAGTCTGTAGTGTGCTTGCTAGTAAGTCACTGGATGAAGCAGTCACTGGCCGCAGATGGTTGTGGAGAGTTTGACCACACGCACCTGATTTGGCTCATGTCACTTGCCTGAAAAGTATCACTCGTTTTTGGGACCGGTGTTGGACAACCATTCTCCACGGCATTGGGGGGAGTGTTACATTGATTTCCAAGCCAGCCATGTGGATAAATATTAGAATGGGAAAACAGAGGAGCATCCATTCTTTTTTAAGCACAAACTTTCAGGTAGAGAAGCTCAAGAAGAAAAGACCTGCACACTTTCATAAACATGTCAGAGTTCTATGGGGTCCTCTCACTTGCTTTGCGCAGGGTTTTTGGCGTTTTGCGTTGCATCCACTAGGTCATAGCTTTTTCCGAGGGCTTATCTGGGCGTCCCCTTCAAAGACAGACGCTCTTTGAGGCAGACCTTTGCTCAAAGGCATGACTCAGAAGCGAAGAAGAAAGATCTTTCTTGCTTGGCCGACATGTCCGGAATGCTACGGTTTCCACCCTTGATTGCTTGAATTGTCTGCGGACGGGCACGTTTTGCCCTTCGGATCCGCTTGTCGCGTGTGGACCCGTTGCCTTGCCATGCTTCAGGACACTGCCGTTCACTGCCTTGGAGCCCTTGCGGCCTTGTATGCGGTGGGGAGCTTGGCAGTTCGGGCTACCTGTCCGTTGGTTGCTTCGTGGCAACGGTTTCAGACAGATTGCTTTTGAGTTTCAGGGACCGGATGGCCCGGGAAGGAACGAAAGTGTAGTGTCATCCTCGCTGCCCGGCGATAGACTTGATTTGTTCAAACAGAATGCTCTTTTGGGATGGGGAATCCACAATGAACAGATTCACAACTACTTCGACAAAAAGGAATGTGTTTTGCAACAGATCGCCAGATGTTTTGATCGATTAGTACTGGTCCCGCAAGAACGTGATGCATAACAATTTCATAGCAACCCTCAAAATTGTAAAGCAAGTGGCAATCCAAACAGTAGTCCTTTTGCACTCAGCATTTCACTGGTCAGGTGCTATTTTCAGCATTGGCGCTGCTGTGGCTGTGGGGGCGACGATTCCGACAGTGACACTTCTGAGGAATCTTTCCTGCACATAGCAAGTTATCCAACACTATACTTGTTCATGCATAGTGAATGGACATCTGTCTGTCTCATGACGTGTTTGGTGCGTCATGTGAGCAAGAAATGCCAGGACAGAACAATGACAAAGAAGGACAAAAATATACTATATAGTGAACAGTTCACCTCTTTGTTCTTTTGGCAAGAATGGGTCCTGGAGTCCTTTCTTCGATCCTGGACTCGTTTGCATTGTCAGACACTTATATAACTGTCAATACTGCGTTAGGTAAAGCATCACCACTCACTCTCGACGACCCACCTTTGTTGCAGTGTGTGAGAAGTGGTTCAACGGCCTGTATGAGGGTTCACGTTATGAGAACAATGTCACCTGTGCATTGTGCTGGTTTCAAGCTGCACTTTCAGGGGGATGGAGAAGCAGGCGCGATCGGATCGTCCGAACGGATGGACAACGTCACAGACACACAATTCATCATGTTCCGAGCACTTCCTGGAAATAGGCAATAGGAGCGCCATAATCAGCCTTCAAATGCTAAAGAATATGAGGCACTTTTCCAAATTGCTTTGGACAGGATTTTCAAGTCTTGGTTCGCCATCCAGGATTCAATGAAGATGATGATTCTGAATGAAATTGAATAAAATGAAGACTAGCAACCATGTAGTATTCCATGTAGTATTGAATGTCAAAGGAGTTGTTTATTGCTCAATGATGCTATATTGTCTTGTACGTGTATGTTTGGTATTGTTTAGGTCGTAGGATTGAATGCATGTTGGTAAATAAGATTTATGTGTAACGTGTGTTTTATGTTTAAGTAAAGCAATTTGTGTATATATATATATTGAAATGTGAAGACAGATTGACATTAACTAAAATAATAGTACAAAATTGAAACAATATACAATGTCTTTGAAATATGTTTATTGGATATATTTGATACAAATATGTGTAAATGAATCAAGAATAAAAAGAATATGCTAAAATAAAGATATTTGTTGAATGTATTTGGACAATGATTTAATTGTGTATTATGTAAAAAAATATATAGTATGGTTTTGTTTTTTGTAGGTTTATGCATTTAATATATTATATAATATGTTTAGGTCGTTGTGAGTTGGATGGAAAGAGTAAAATAAGGAAAATTGTAAGGATAGAACATTAACCAAAGTATATATAAACAAAAAAGATTTTTGTGGTAGCTAGTTCCGTTTTGAATTGGCTTGAGTTGGACGTATTTGTTTTTGTTATGTTTGAAAGTATTTGGTGTATTAATAGTTTTGTTAAAATATAGGGTCTTCGTTAAGTACTTTGAGATTATGAAGCGTTATATTAATACATAAATTTAATTATTGTTAAATTATTGTTATTTAGATAATGGAATATGGATTTTTTTGCTTTGTTATATATTAATCTTTGATATATATTATTGCAAATCTGTGTTATAAGATTAAAACTATGTTTTTTACCGCTGTATTATGATTTCGTGGGTGTTAAGTGTTTATTGGCATTACTTTTTTAATTGAATAACATACATAGTGGAGAATTAGCTCATAATTGGCGTTATATTTGTTAAATTGTTGTAAGCATATGTATTGTGCATGCCAAAGTTAAACAGATATCTTGGTTTTTGGCAATCATTGGTTTCGGCATTAAAAAGCACCTCCTTGTATGAGTAGTGAGACAAGCCTTGAGAGATTGAAGGCATTCAAAGGATGTTAGCCTTCTAAGGAAAGATTTATTTGGCATTCTTTGAAGGAGCCTAGGAAGCGTGTAGAGAAGGTTTGATAAGGGAAACGTTATGGGTAATGCTTCGTCGTGATAGATGCTCAAAACAGATTTAAAGAACGGAGAAGAAGATATTTTTTGAGGTGTTAATTAAGAAGTACATGTTAAATAGATATCCACAAACAAAGAAACATTATACAAGAGAAACCTTGCGTGTGAGATTACGCGAAATGTTTCTTTCCACCGAGCAGGTATTCAATTTTCATATAAATAAAACGTCTTCTTTGACCTGGCTCAATCCATTTCAAGCAGAGCCCTCATCCAGCAAAAGAATCTAGAAGTGCTTTGGTTTGGAAGCTTCTGGAAACCTTGGGAATGTGCTAAATGTTATTAAACTCTTGGTTTTGACAAGGTAAAATTGGTATAGACAATTAAAAGTTGACCCCAAAGAAGGATCAAGCTGTTCGGAACAGACATTGAAAGTCCTTAAACGGCACTTTTTGAGGAGGAGTGCTTTGCCACGACAAAGTCCAGCCAGCTGTTGCAATCGAGCCTAGAGCTAAGGACCAATTTGTCGTTGGCTTGCTTCCTTGCTTCTCGTTTCTTTGTTTGCTTGCTTGGTAGTGGCGGCTGGTGCTTGCGCAGGTTGCTTTGGGGCAAGGGCAGCATCAAAACAATGAAAGGCAGCAAGTCAAGTCAGTAGGAAGGAGGGCCGGTGGAGATGCAGGAGATGGGCAAGCAAACGAACGAAAGGTTTGTTGGAATACAGGGAAGGTCGGAAGGGAGCAACAGAGTAATGGAGGAAGGGAAAAATGAAGTGAAGAGGAATGAGAACGGCGAAAAGGAAGGAGAATGAAAGAAGAGGGAGCAAGGAAAAGATAACGATGATGGAATCGAAGATTATGCGTTTTTGTGTTCGTTCTTATGCATTTACATGTATGTTTAATATGGTAAATGTTCAGGATATCTTTGTTTTGTGTATCTATATGTGGCTTATGCATTAAATAGCTGAATGCTTTGCATGTGATGCTCTTTAATGGTTTTGTAAATGTGGGCTTCTTTTTAGTGGTGATGGGCATCGAATTTGATTACAGCGTTGGACGGAGATTGATTTCGAGAAGTTGAGGATGATCAGGACTGGGATATAGAGATGTTCAAAGTTCAAAGGCATTAATACAACAAGAAGTTGGTATGAAGGATAATTGAAACATATTTGTGATGAAGAGTTATTTAAAAGACTTAGGGTGAGGAAGGCTCATTACTTGTTTTCAGCAGTTATTATGATGCCGAATTGTTCCAAGCAATGTTGGGACCTGGATTTGAAGGTTCAACCATGAAAACAATGCCTTTTTGTTGGGGGGAAGAATTATTTCCGAATGCTGGCATATAGAGAACCTGGTTATATGCAGAAAAGTGAAGGGTTTGGCATGAAAATGGGCTCAGAGGGTTGGGGTTTGGGGTCAAGATTGGCTTGAATATTGTTTCATGATGAGGATTGAGATGCAGAGATATTTGAAGGCTTTGCGACAAGAAAGCCTTGAAGGTCTAAAGGAACCTGGGATGAAAGAGGGTTAAACATCTTTTGCGATTGGTTCAAAGGTCTTTGATCCAGAACAAGTTCAATCAAATGTAGGCGACATGCGGTGGATTTGAAGGTTTCAAAAAATTGACGTGAAGACAGGTTCAATATGTGTTTTGTGTGAAGATTAGCTTGCAAAATGTTTGCATGAAGACGGCTGCAATGTAGAGATGTTGACAGGCATTCAGCAGACTTGAGAATTTCAACGAACCTCGGATGAAGCTAAAAGAGGCCTGGGGTGAAGATTATGGCTTGTCAGTTCAATTGCTTTTGGGATGCAGAAAGGTGTTCAACAAAGGTGAGCAAAACGAACTGAAGGTTCAAAGGAACTTGGCATGAAGATGGGTTCAAAAGTTCTTCAAAAGACATTTACCAACAAAACAGACTAGAAGCTTTGAAGGAACTTTGGATGAAAGAATATTAAAGCATCTTTACAGTGGAGAAGACAGACAGTTTGACAGGCGAAGCTTTGCAAATGAGGGGTGACATATTCAATTGGCAATTGGGTGATTGCATTGTGGTTATGCCTTTCGGGAGGTAATCTTTGTGGTGGTGTTGGGTTAAAGGGCTTAATCAAAATAATTATTGTGACTACGCCTGCCGTGAGGGGAGGGCTCGCAGTCCGCATTAGCGGACCAACGACCATTAACT